ACAGAGACAGACAAAGACAGACAGAGACAGAGACAGGGACAGGGACAGAGACAGAGACAGAGACAGAGACAGAGACAGAGACAGAGACAGAGACAGAGACAGAGACAGAGACAGAGACAGAGACAGACGGATGGACGGACGGACGGACGGAGGGTCGGACGGACCGACAGACAGAAAGACAGACGGACAGACGGACAGACAGACAGACACAGACAGACAGACAAAAAGACAGACCAACAGACAGACAGACGGACAGACAGACAGACAAACAGACAGACGGACAAACAGACATACGTACGTACACAAATACATGGATACAAGCATACACACGTATGGGCATAAATCGATGTTCGTATGTGTATATCATATATTATGTCCACACTTGTTTATGCAATTTTCGTAACTTAATAATGTAACTAACCATGGTTCGCCCTCGCTCCTCGCCAGCAATCTTGGGCTGAGCGGCTCGGCTCCTCCAGCAACTCAACAGCTCAAGTCAGCTCAAGACTGTCGCGGACACGCGTCCTTGCCCAACCTGGACCACTTGGCCACTCTGCTCTATTCCAGTTGGTACCTCGGCCACGCACTGATCAACCTGTCCTAGCAACCCGCTGCGTGACATGGCCTCTTCATCTGTTGTGCCTGAAGCTTGTGACCTTGATCGTGGGCGTGGCTGAAGCAGATTCATGATCGACCAAAACAACGAGCCTGGTCTGGCTGGTCCTTCTGCCAGACGGGATCCTCTTCAAGTGGTATGCCTGCACGTGCTTCAACACACTCCTTGATCAACTCTGCTCTCTCTCACCTGCAAGCATGCATGGGCGGGAGTCCCACAGAAGACATGTGCCCGCGTGCATGCCTGACTGTCTGCACCCAGCTTCATCGCATAGGCGCATGGACTAAGAACAGAAGGTTTCCTCTACACTCTACACAGGACACCATGGTCAACCTTCTGCATCCTTGCAACTACGACAAGCATCAAGCTGAGTGAGTGGCTTCACTAGTGGCAGTCCGGCTTATCATGCCAACTATTCAGAATGTGGCGCCCTATCAGAGCTGGCAGCTGCGGCAACAACCAGTCACAATCACTTGCTGGAGGATGCATGGTGGTCCGTCGTGCTGCACTACTCACTACTGCAAGTCACGCTTGTTCGTACTGGGAACGTCGTGATGGCAGTGCCTTGCTACTCCCTTTCCAGCTGAACGCATTCCCTTATGTACGTGTCTCTGTAGTAAACGTGATGGGTACTGCTCTCATTCATTCCTCATGGCCTCACTGCCGCACAGTCAACCTTCGTGATGTGTCAGACGTTGAAGGCCCGAAATCATCTACCAGCTGCTGGCAACCAATCCAATGCAAAGTCCATCTCTACTCTGCCGAAACAGCACGGACAGTCCCTGAGAGTTGTTTTCGCAAGGTGATTCCCAAGCTGCAAGTTCTGCAAAGTGCATCAAATCGTGCAGCAGATTCCTCAGCCACGTCATCAACACCGAAGCACATCAGCCTGTGTGGGCATTCGCAGTTGTCTTTGCACCTATGTGACTGTAGCCTTCTAAAGCATTGGATTCGATGCAGCAGTACTAGATGCTGATGGCTCGTCTACTTCCTGCTCTGGCAGGCCAAACTGCTAAACTGAAACACACGGCATCTGCCGACTCTGTCGTGCCCGGATGCGACAAGGAAGCTTCCGGAACCGTCCTTCACGCTCTACCAGTTCACGGCCTTGGGCGCGGGGCAAACTTAGGCGATAGAAGGTCATGGAATCCAAAAACATGCAACGGTGCCCTTCGTAAGGACGGTGCTGAGCATCCTGGAACGCTAGGCCTCTTTCGGGATGACTTTTCCAGTTTGTTACCGAGTGCATTTTCCCTTCACAGCCTGGCCATTTGCTTGTCCTTCAGCGGCCATCAACTGCCGTAAGGAACACTCATTGAGCAGCCCAGACTACAGGGTCCTCGTCCGATCTCTTCCCCGGACAGCGTCTTGGGCGGCAGGGATGTCAAAGACATTGGCCAGGACGATGACGATGGCACAGACCGTGAGCCAGGGAAGTCTCGCGGGCCAGGCAGCGGCGTGGCTTGCGAAGGTGGTCCTGCAAGCCCACCGAAAACAATGCATGCGCTGTACTGCTTTGCTATACACAACGGACAGCCATGAAGCAGGACTCCTGAAACTCGTGCGGCAAGCAAGACTTTGCCGAAGTGCTGGGACCCAGCCGGCTTCAATGAGGCCTCGATCTTCTGCGACTGCAGATTGAAACCTGGTGGCGACGGCTGCTCCGCTAACACTGCGGCCACATGATTGTAAAAACCACGACACGGCTAGCAGCACCATCAGCACCAGCAGTCCCAGCATCCCCGCCGCCAGCACCAACACCACCACAACGACAGCAACTGGAACACCATGAACGCCAGCAGCACGACATGGCGGCCATCGACAACAACCCGAACACGCCACGGAGACTGTGTTGGATGACGAAATTGCACTGTCTGCTGGACCACGCCGGGGGATTCTCCGAAGCTGGATACCAGTCGGAAACATCGGTGATCGGTGGGGATGGTTCCCAAACCAGCCTAACCCGGGCTTCGGGGTGCTCATAACCGTTGCGCTGCCCACACCGAGGTTGGATCCCGACTGCTATGTTCACTACTTCAGACGCACTCGCAAGCTCACTCTTGCTTCGCGCTGAGCACTGAAAGGTCCGTGAGTCCTTTGAGTTCAACCCCCACCGGTTCATGAGTTGGGGAGCAGCGGCTTTGCGGGCGGCATTCGAGGGCGCTTGTCTTCTCCCAAACGATGGGTCAGATGGGCTTTCGAATCATTCCAAGCTTATACTTGGGACGTTCGCGCCGCCGCAAAGGATGTGGCTAATGTGGTTCGCTCCTCTTGTCCGCGGCTGCGCTTCGCGCCCGGACCTACAGCTTGGACACTGGCTGTGTGCGCCCATGGACTGCTCGTTAGCCATAACATAGAATTCTGCGAGCGAATGAGTCGAATGCTTGGCTCAAGAACTTTCGGCTTCATGTAGGTTTGGTATCAGGGACTGTGCCACAATGGTTCGCTTTGCGGTAGCCCTTGCTGGTCACTGTTTGGTGGCCGCGACTCGCAGCCGGTCCATCCGGCACCACCGCCCCAGTGCGAACTGCTGGGATGATCCTCTTCTCCGAGACTACCTCAGGTTGGTGTAAAAGTGGAACTTCAAGGTTCTTTTCGGGTGGACGAACATCGCCGTCGCCGTCTCCTCAACCCCCGGACGCCTCGGTTCCCTTGGGGTCGATGGTGGTTGAGCTCTCTCGCAGATACCGAAGGTACGCGGGAGAGGTACTGGTCGAAGACCTGATGATCTTGTGCTGCGCTTCTCAATGGGGGCAGTCCGTTTGCAACCTGATTCGACGCATCGGACTCGGATCGATCGCCATGGACTATGGATCAAACCAGGACGGCTCCTGTGTTACCGCCCGAAGTCTGCGGGAAGCGCTCGAGCCTGCCGAACAGATTCATCTTTGCTGCTCCGAGGAATGCACCCAACCTGGGGGAATTCCACTGTAAAGAGTTTGCCGCCATCGATGCCGACTCTGTCATCCACCTGGGGGCCTATGGTCGGCTCAG